TTTACTTGTCTTTTATAATTTTTTATAGTATTAAAAATTATAAAAAAAATTATCCTTATTAAAAAAGACAAAAAAAATATTATTTAATAAAAATAAAGATTATTTTCTTGTTAAAAAAACTTTAAGTTAAACAAAGAATAATTTTTTTTTATTAAAAATAAAAAAACGTTCATTTTTTTAATTAAAATATATCATGTGTAATATCATGTGCAATGATCTTCAACCAATAAAAATTAATTTTTTATGTGATGATCTCCTTATAAACATCACAAATTTTAACCTATAAAATCAAATGTCCACTATGCTCTTATTTACATGACTGCGACATTAAGATCACATAAGTACGCAAACTTTCGCGTGCCAGACGAAATAGATGGCATTAATTATTATTTTAAAGAAGCGGAAGCTCATGAGTGGAAACTAAAACACTATTTAAATCACCGTTTAGAAAAAGAAAATGTATTGTCAACCTGGACGGCAGTTTACAAAGATTGGCAGGACTCACTCGAAAATATTAAAAAAAACAATTACAAAAATGTTCCGGGCTGTATATTCTCATATTGTCACGACTTATTAAACGTTGATACTTTTGAAGCCATTTCTATTTTAAATAGTTGCAAAGACTGGTATATTAAATTGTATGAGTGAAGCTTTGAACTGAAATTTTCAGAAAGGGTTCAAAAACAGGAAACAAATATATTTTCATCTCAGAAGGTAACAGAGTTGTTTCAAAAAGTGACAGATGTACTAGGAAAAAGAAATGAAAGTGATTTTGAGGAAGAACGAGTATTAAAAACGAAATATAATCGAGATGGTTATACCACACCACCACAACGATCACGCTTTTTTATTGAAAAATTTCCTAAGACTTTGGAATCCAGCCAGCTCCCGATCTCTGATGGAGGACTTCCAAACTTTGAAGAGAGATTGGAAATTGATCCGGAATTGGTAGTTCAAGAAGTTAATGAAGTTATGATTCCTTATTCTGAACGTTCTTTTGATTATAATTCTTGGAAAAGTTGGAATTTAAAGTCTGGCTCAGTAGTTAATGACCTATTAAAGAAAGCTTCAAAAGCCAAAGGTCATCCCCTTAGGTAAATTGTAAATGATTAGTATTTTATGTTTGCATGCATCTGCGATTAATTATTTAAACTTTTAGGCCCGAGGTTTGGGGATTGTTCGTTGTGGATTGAAGATCACAAAACCAAAATGGTGTGATGATGAAGACTATGCCGAAATACAAAGCTCTACAAGACGCCCAAACCTTATAAAACCTCAGAAACACATTATCGAACTTTTGAAAATAGTAAGTTTTTTTTTTTTTCCTTTTTCTAGTTATTTTCGCTTACTCCTTTTCTAAATATTTTTATTATAAAAAGTTTGTTTACAATAGAAATCATTAAAATCACTAGAATTTGAATTAAAACGATTTAAATTAAACGCAAATATTCATCATCTGAGAGAAATTGGTAAACCAACAGAAAATGACCAGTTCCTAGATGGTTCGGAGAAGATCATATCCTAAAGATTCCTTTACTATTTTTTTTTGTAAAAATCGTTTTACTATTGTGAGTATTGCCTGTTTTTGCTTTTGAAAATATCATTGGCCTATTTATTCACTAAAACTTTTGTCCGTAGTCATAAATATGTTTTTATAGAAAATTCTATTATACAACAGTTAAACGTGTCTGAAGCTAATTACGGAGGATCCCTGTCTAAAAAAAATGCCTTTCGGTTTAGAATCTTGTCTATACTATCATATGTAAGTAGCTTTTAATTTCTATTTGAGACAATGTTTATAATTTTAACAAATATTGTATATTGATGCCTTTTAATATAAGAGGAGAAGAAATTTTATCATCTGTGAAGTCTTGCCGAAAGTGACGAAAATCTATCAATTCTTATGAGCAGAAATCTGATGGTGTATTTTTTTGTGAAATTAAAAAAGATTTTAATCGAAGTGGGCCACTTGGAAATAAGTGGAAGATACGGACATAAAGATATTCCACGATATTTATTAATCAAATTCTTATTTATTTAGATCTCGAAAACAAAAAGTTTAGAAATGAAAATTCCCGGATTTGATAAAAAAAAATCTATTTCACGGATCTCAATGATTTTCAAGGCTGGGAGAACTAATTCTTTTTTTTTTAATGAACTGGTATACTGTCATATCAAATTCATGTGCTTGGATTTCGAGATATGCTAAAACCCTTATCATACTCTTTTTTATATGTTGAGTCTTAGATCGATTCTTGACTCAGATGTCAGCAGGTGTAAATCTTCATCTGACGTGTATCAGATTAATGTTGATTATATGAAGAGAATTTGCTAAAGTTCACCTCCCTCGAAAAGAAGTTAAAGTTTGTTAGTTTTGCCTAGAGTGATTAATTATATCACCTAAAATAATCACAAATTAATTTGAATATTTGAAATAACAAAAAAAAATTATCAAATAATAAAAAATGTTTTATATAATAATAATAATAATAATAATAAATAATAATAAAATATTATTATAGATCCAAATTATTAATTTTAATTATTGATTGATTTCAGATTCTTTCCTACGATTCCTATTTGCTAATAAAATTTTTTTACGTTTTTCAATTAATTCTTCCATACGTTCATTACCAAAATAAAGAAAAGTCCCAACTCCTGAAAAAAATACTGCTGTGAGTGCGTGTGTTATTGGTTCTAGATGATAATAATAATAATGATAATAATAATATTATTATTATATGAATACAATATATAAATAGATATAGATATATAGATTATAATCAAATTTATTAAATTAAAAATTCTTACTATCAAGAAAGGGTCGTTGTTGAATGCCATTCGAAAATGCTCTTACTCCTACACCAAAAAGGCCCCAACCTATAACATTTGTTGCAAGACCCATAACTTTTTAACACAGATAATTCTAACTTCTTTTTTGAAAAAATAAATTCATATCATGTTAAAGAATAATTTTTAATTCCCTAAATTGAATTAAAAAATTTACCTAATTTACTGTTTTAAAAAAAAGTCAAATACCTACTAAATAACAGTAGGACGACAATTAACATTTTAGTATAAGATTTTTATCATGTGACTGACAATATTTTTCGCGTTAAAATATTTGTAAAAAAAAAAAATAAAATCAAATAAAATAAAAAAAAAAACAAAATAAACGAATTGATTTATTATTATGAATTTATACTTTTATTTTTATTTTTGTTTTTTTTTTTACAATTCTATCGACATGATACTTTGACATTTTTTTGATATTTTTTTATAATTATTTATCATTATTTAACACGGCATCTATTGATAATCCAGAAGCTGCAATCATAAATCCGAGGAATGGTGGTGAAGGTTTAAGTGGACGACTAAGATATTCGGGATGATATTGAGTACCGACAAAGAATGGATGATCTATAAATAAATGAACATGAATGAACGAATAAATATTAATTTATTATAAAATTATAAAACTCAATTGTAAAATAAATTTCATGTCATTATTATTATTATTAAGAAATATTTTTACCTTGTAATTCCATTATTTCCATTCTTCGACCAGTTATATCACGACCTACAAAGTGTAATCCATGTTGTTCTAAAATTTCAATATATTTTGGATTCACTTCGTATCGATGTCGATGACGTTCCGAAACCATTTGGGTTCTAACATCGATGGAATTTGTAACTTCATAAAGTTTACCTTTTTTTTTTTTTTTTTATCAAAAAATATATTTTTATTCAAATCAAATTTAATTAATGAAATTAATTCAATAATAAATTTGAAAAAGAATCAAATTATAAAATATTTTATAAAAAATATACATACGAATTGTTGACCAATCTTCCGTTTTATCTTGGAAAATAGTTGGTCGTGAACCTAATCTCATCGTACCTCCAAGATTAACTGTAGATATTTCAGGCATATTTACAACAACCGGATGAGAAGCATCTTTTTCAAATTCTTCCGAACTTGCGACTATTAAACAAAATAATAATGATAATGATGATAATGATGATGATCAGCAATGATCAGGCAAAAAAAAATTTACATATATATAAAAAAAAATACCTTCTAGACCACAAACATTACGTGCGAATTCGATAACAGCAATTTGTAACCCAAGACAAATACCTATGATAAAAAAAAAATTATTAATTAAAATTTATTTTTTTTTAAAAAAAATGCAATTAGTAAAATACCAACCTAAATATGGAATTTTATTTTCACGAGCCCATCTGGCGGCAGTGACTTTTCCTTCAGTTCCACGATTTCCAAAACCACCTGGAACCAAAATACCATTAGCAGAAGTTAAACTTTGCCAAGCTTCTTTGTATTTAGCAGGATCTTTTATTTCGTATTCCTTTTCCAGATGAGATGCCTCAACCCACTTAAATTTAAATAGATTATTATATTCTCAGTGAATCTTTAAAAAAAAAAATCAATTTAAAAAAATAAATAAATAATCTAATAATAATTTTATTATCTTACATTGAGAATTAACGTTTTTTCACATTTTAAACTTGAATGTTCTAATGCTTTCTTGACCGAAAGATACGAATCTTGCAGGTTGGTATATTTACCAACTAAAACGATCGTGACTGAATCACCAAGACGATCATATCTATAGATAACAACAACAACAATAATAATAATAATAAATTTTAGAATTTTTAATCAATTAATTAATTCGGTTCAAAATTCAATCGTAACATTTTTTTTTTAAACGCATACTCAGCCGTTAATTTAGTCCATTGTTTTAATATGATTTCACCTTTAATCAATTGATCGGTTGAAATGCGCATGGAATCCAAATCAAGTCTTTTTCGAAAAAAGTTTAATACTCCTTGTTCTTTTAGTAGTAACGGAACATGATAAGTACTTAATACATCACGAACAGAAATAACCTAAATAATTAAAATGATTTTTTTTTAAAACAAAAAATCAAAACTTAAATAAAAGAAACCAAAAATATTTATACCTGTTCTTTTCCGACGTGACAAAACATTGATATCTTGTCTCTAACTTCAGGTTCTAATGCTTTGGAACAACGGCAAGCTATCTAAAAATTTCAAATAAAGAAAAAAAAACATAAAACTAAAACTTTTTTTCACGTTTTTAAACTGTCTTGAAATAATAATATTGTGTTTTTTTTTTATTTTTTAATATCGTATTATTTTAATTCAAGATAAATAATAAATAATAAATCACTAACCAAATCAGGAGATAATCCCAAAGCCCTTAACTCTTTTATTGTTGATTGAGTAGGTTTGGTTTTTTGTTCACCAACTGGACCAATCACTGGTACTAGCGATACATGAGACAAGGCAAAATTTTCGTGTCCCACTCGAAATTGAAATTGACGCATAGCTTCAATAAAGGGAGCTGACTCTATGTCACCTACAGTTCCACCTAACTAATAATATTTATTATTTATTTAAAATAAATTAAAATAAAATAATATATATATATATATAATAATAATAAATAAAAATAATACAAAATAAAATAAAATAAAATAAAATAATAAAATATAAATCAAATAAATAACAATATATTGTATTATTAATATACCTCTATAATGCAAACATCGGGACTTTCGCCACTACAATCAACGGGGATCTTAGCAACACGTTCAATCCAATCCTGAAGAGCATTAGTGATGTGTGGAACCTATCACGTTAATTAGAGAAATAAAATTAATTAAAATAATTAATAATTGATTAAAAATTGATTAAATCATTAGAATTGATAAAATTGAATTTAAAACTTACAACTTGGACAGTCTTTCCGAGATAATCTCCTCTACGCTAAATCATCCAAAAAAATAAATAAATAAAATAAATCATTAGTAAATTAAACGAAATTTAAACGAAATTAAATTAATTTAAATATTAATAAAAATAGATAAATTAATGATTCAAAAAAAATTTATATAAAAATTTCACCTCTTTCTGAATAACTAACTGATAAATTTTACCAGTAGTAATATTATTATCTCTGGTGAGTGTTATGTCTAAGAAACGTTCATAATTTCCTAAATCCAAGTCAACTTCACCTCCATCGTCTAATACAAAAACTTCTCCTATTATAAGTAAAGGAAATAAAGGAAATAAAGGAAATAAGGGAAATAAGGGAAAATAGATGAAACAAACAAGTGAACTTATTAGTGCTTGTTATTTCTATATTACCTCAACGCGTTTCACTCAACATAAAACAACAATAAAAAAAAAAAAAAAAAAAAAAAGACGAAAAAAAAAATAATAAATGAATAACGAACCATGTTCAAAAGGACTCATAGTTCCCGCGTCAATATTCATATAGGGGTCTATCTTTATAGCTGTTACCCTAAGCCCGAGCGTCTTTAATAAGACTCCTAACGAAGAGGCAAAAATTCCTTTCCCGATACCCGAAATAACACCACCAGATACCAAAATATATTTCATCGTTGCGGTCTATTTACTATTTTCAAATTTACGCGTATTATATATTTTATATTTATTTTATATATATTATATATATATATTAGATATATTAGATATTATTTTATATATATATATTATTATGTATATTATGAAATATATAATTATTAGTATCAAAGTCGATAAAAAAAAACACAAGTCTCAAATAGAATATTTTATTTAAGACTTTGCGGCCAAGTTTATCATCAAGAAAACTGGGAAAGAAAAAAATTCGATCAGGGAGTTTTTTTCTTTATATATTATTATTATTCTCAAATGATGAATCTAAAAAAAAAAAAAAAAAAAAAGATTTTTGTAAATAGACCAATCAGATTGTATTTTGGACAACCAGAATTATCACGTTTGATACTAAATGTTGAAAAAAAAGCGCGATCGACCTATCACAATAAAGGATATAAGTGTGATATCACGTGACAATTTACATTTCTAAATTAGTGCAAGGATATTTATATGGTTAACAAATTTAAAAAACAAATAAATTCAACAGGTTTAGTGTTATCCAGCAAGCCTACTTTACACAGATTTTTTTAATAGTCAAGAACTTTATTATTATCTTAAACATAAAAAATCCAATATTTTTTACGTGCATACTTGCTTGATCTATATAAAAATAGTTCGCTTATTTGTTCTTGTTCAACTGTACTCGCAGAAAACCAAAAAAAAAAAAAAAAATCAAATAAAAGAAAAAAAAAATATCAACTCCGGGTTCCATGCACAATATTATTATTTTTTTATTTACCATCTAGTAATAATAAAATAGAAGTAATAGAAATAATAGAATAATCTACAATCAAAAATAATCAAAATAATCAAAAATGAATTCACTAGCTCATCATAGTAACCCACACTTACAACAATTTATTCAATTGCAACAAGCTGCGGCTTCAGCTTTGGCTACACCTAATCCTTTGAATGTAGGAAGCGCGAATAATTTATCTTCACAACTTCATGTTAATGCAGCAAATCTTCATGGAATGCCAGTAGTTGGAGATCCTTGGGGACCAGGTGGCGGAGCACCCATGAATTTACCAATACATCAACATAAGTTGGCTCAATTAGAAGAAGAAAAAATTTATTCATTGATAACTGAATTAACTAATCCAGCAAATCGTGAATTGGCTTTAGTAGAATTGAGTAAAAAGCGAGAACAATATGATGATCTGGCATTGATATTATGGCATTCTTTTGGTATACCATTTTTTTTTTTTTTTTAAATATTAAAATATCAATAACAAATGAACATCAAAAATCAAAAAAAAAAAAAATTAAAATTAATTCTAAAAAAAATTATATATATATATATATTAGGGGTAATGGCGGCGTTATTACAAGAAATAGTTTCAGTATATCCACTTCTAGCACCACCCGCACTTTCTGCTCAAATATCAAATCGTGTTTGTAATGCTTTGGCATTATTACAATGTGTTGCAAGTCACGGTGAAACGAGGGGATTATTTCTTAATGGTATTTTTTTCATTTTTATTTTATTAAAAATTTTTTATTTTTTTCGAATTATTTTTTATTTTTTTTTTTAAATTAATTAATTTTTGAATTATTTTTCTTGTAGCTCATATTCCATTGTTTTTATACCCATTTCTTAATACAACAAGTAAAACGAGACCGTTTGAATATCTCAGATTAACTAGTTTGGGAGTTATTGGTGCTCTTGTTAAGGTTATTATTAAATTTCAATAATTTAATTTAATTAATTTATTTTTCAATAATTATTTTAATAATTTTAAATTAATTATGTTTAAATTTAATAAATTTAAATTAAATTAATTTAAATTAAATTAAATTAATTTAAATTAAATTAAATTAATTTAAAATTAAATTCTAGAATGACAATCCGGAAGTAATTTCTTTTCTGTTATCTACCGAAATTATACCACTTTGTTTACGTATCATGGAAACTGGTAGTGAACTGTCTAAAACGGTAAGAAAAATTATTATTATAATTATTTTTTTTTAAAATTATATTTATTAAATATTTTTATTTTATTTTATTGTTTATAGGTTGCCATTTTTATAGTACAAAAAATTTTATTAGATGAAATGGGATTGGTATATATTTGTGCAACTTATGAGCGTTTTTATGCGGTTGGAACGGTTTTAAGTAATATGGTTAGTCAACTCGTTGAGACACAAGCCGTTCGATTGTTGAAACATGTTATTAGATGTTATCTTCGTCTTTCCGATAATCCAAGGTGATTATTTCATATATATATATATATTTCATAATATATTCTCATATGTATATATTATTCTTATTCTCATCTCATATAAATATTTGATTTCCTTATTCTAGAGCTCGTGAAGCACTTCGTCAATGCTTACCGGAAGCACTTCGAGATGCAACATTTTCACAAGTTTTGAAGGATGACATAGTTACTAAAAGATGCTTGGCAGCATTAATTGTTAATCTTTCTGACAACGTAGTCACCACGAATTAATATAATATAATATAATTAATTATGCATCGTAATACATATACCAATAATATTCCTATTGTACGTTCATTCATTCCGGTTGTATATTGTCTTTCTTTCATATATTATTATTATTATTATTATTATTATTATTATTATTATTTTTATTACTATTTTTATTTCAACAATAATTCATTTTTTTTTTCATATATATTACTTTCTTCACTCATTTTTATTTTATTATAAAGATGAATGTGTATTTATAATTAGTTTCTTTTTTTTTTAAATATTTCTTTCTTCCTTTCTTTCTTTCTTTTTTCTTTTCTTTCGTCCCTTCCTTTCTTTTAAATATTTCCTTTTTTTTTTCTTTTTCTTTTTAAATATTGTAGCTTTTTTAATGGAAGATAATTCTTTTTCACCTTAGATAAATTATGGATAAATTTGACTTTTTTTTTAGAATACATAATAATAATATATATAATCTATATAATCTTATATAATCTTATATAAGCTAAACATGTAATAATATTAACACTTAAATATATATATATATATATCTATCTATCTATCAAACTGTAACTGGATTACATCTTGCTAGTTATTATTATTATTATTATTAGTAGTAGTAGTATATTATTATTTCTCAAATATATATTTCTTCATTTGTCATTATATCATGTCATATATTATATTAGCATGTATGTATATGTGCGTTGTATATTTATATATATATATATAAACATAAAAGATAAACATAAATTTATTTGATGCATTAATTAATTAATTCATTCATTCACGCGTGTAATTATTGATCAATCAATCACCCGATTTAAAATTATTATTATTAAGTTTTATTCATTTAAGATTTATTTAAGATTGAATTTAAGTTTATTAATTTAAGGTTTTAATAATTTAAAGTTTAATGATTTAGTTATTCAAAAAATTCATTAAATTATTTTTTTTTAATTTAAGATCGATTATTAGATTCAATAGGTTTGATTATAGGAAATAAAAGTACCTGAACAAATATAAATATAAATAAATAAAATATAAATAAATAAATAAATAAATAAAAATAGATAAAAATATAAATAAATAAAATATAAATAAATAGATATAAGTAAATAGATATAAATAAAATATGATATAAATAAATATGCTATAAATAAATATGAAATAATAAATAAGTATAATAAATATTCAAATGATTATAAACTACAAACCTCTTTAATTGAAATACTATTAGTCAAGATCATTGTTAATCTATCTATACCAAGACCCAAACCAGCTCTATATAATTAAACATAATTCAATTAATATATAATAACAGTAATAATAATAATAATAATATTATTATTATTAAACAACTTACGTGGGAGGTAACCCATATTCCAAACTGGTACAAAAAATTTCATCAATTAATTGAATTTCATTATCACCTTTATCTTCCTTAATTTTCAATTGTTCATTAAATCTTTCACGTTGTTCAAAAGGATCATTTAATTCAGTATAAGCATTTATTATTTCACTTTCGGCAATAAATAATTCAAATCTTTCACTAATACCGGGATGATCACGATGACGTTTTGATAATGGACACATTATGGTGGGAAATCCCGTTAGAAATGTTGGGGATTTACAATTTGGTTGAATGAATTTTGATATTAACTAAATTATATATATAGTATATAAGTTATATATATATGTATAGTTTAATGTATAATGTAGTATATTATATTTTATATTAAAGTTAAAAATGGATATTATATTATAATTTACATACCTTTTCCAATAATCTAGAATTAGTTCTCGGCGGATTACAAATAACATTATGTTTAATACAAATATTTTCTAAAAATTTATTGGTTGCTTCCGTATTCCATTCATGTGATAAAGGAAATTTTATCTCTAAAATTTTCTCTAGACAATTAATTACATCAAATCTTTTGAATGGTGGAGTGAAATCTATTTCTATTTCATTTTCGTCGTTGAAATCTTTATCATCATTATCTCTATTATCAGATTCTTCACGTTTGTTGTTGTTGTTGTTGTTGTAATTACGTTGATATTTAATTATTGGTTTACCAATAATTTCTTTAACCATATCTGATAACAAATTTTCCGTAATATTCATTAAATCATATACATCATTATAAGTCATGTAAAATTCACATGAAGTAAATTCTGGATTATGTGTCATATCAATTGATTCATTACGAAATTGTCTTCCAATTTCATAAACTCGATCTAATCCTCCTATTACCAATTGTTTTAAATATAATTCCGGAGCGATTCTCATAAATATATCACGTTTAAAATCCGCGAGATGAGTAACAAATGGTTTGGCGGTTGCTCCACTAGCTATAAATGTCATCATAGGAGTTTCGACTTCTAAAAATCCTAAATTATTTAAAAATTTTCGAATATAATTGATAATTTTTGTTCGAATGATAAATTTTTCTCGAACATCCTTATTCATTATTAAATCCAAATAACGTTGTCGATAACGTGATTCTTGATCTTTAAATCCTTGTTGAGGGGTAGGTAATTGATGAAGGCAAGGTGATAATAAGATTATTTCTTTGGGATAAATTGATAATTGGCCACTTTTTGTTCTTCCGGGATATCCTTTAACACCAACAACATCACCACGATGAAATATTTCATGAACTTTGGTAAAATCATATTCAGCATCTCTATAATAAATTATTAATAAATTTAATTAAATTATTTTGAATCATAATAAATAATAATAATAATAATAATAATAATAATAATAATAATAATAATAATAATAATAATAATAATAATAATAATAATAATAATTAATTATTTACTGAGCTCTGGCTACAATTTGAATCGATTCACCTTCTCCCTGTAAATCATAGAATATTAATTTTGAACCTGATGATCGTTGATTATGAATTCGACCAGCAATTGATATTAATTCATCATTTAATAATGATTGATCAGACTTAAGGTAATTGAATTTTTCAATAAATGCGGGAATAGAATAATCAACATGAAATTTATGTGGATAGGGATTAGGTTTTTGAGTGAGACGATATTCATTGATGATTTTGGATCGATATTCAAAATATTGCTATTTTTTTTTGTATTAATTAAAGTTATTTGATTAAAAAAAAAAAAAAAAATTTATTTAATTGCTGGGTATTAAAATATTTAGAATTTTCACTTACACTGGAATTTGGAAATTTATTTGAAGTCGTCTTAATTTTGGTTAAAGGCTGCGTAATTATTATAAATTACTGTTGATGCACATAACTCTCTCTCTCTTTTTTTTTTCTTTAAAATGTATACATATATATATGTCTCCAACCTTTTCAAAGTTTTCATTATTGTCCCTTTGTTTTTTTTCGCCACCACTAATTCCAGCAATTAGTTGCGTTGTTGTATTGCTATATTATAAAAAAAAATTATGTATAAATTACATAAGTCATATGAATTGAGTAGATAATTAGTTATAAAAATTATTATTATTTATTTGCCTTAAAATTCTCGATGCATTAAAATAACGTAGTGATAATAATTTTAAAAAATTTGAACTTTTTTTATGAGGTATTTTATTTAATATCATATTAAATTAAAAATAGCAGATCAATTGACATATCATCTTGATTAAAAAAATTAAAATTTTTTTCGGAGAAATAATAAAAAAATTTAGAATTCCATTTCCTGTACCTGTATTATCATTTACTAGTTTTTTTTTTTTTAAGAAAATAAAGAAATAATTATGATAAATTAACTTTGCTCACTACTATCATTGTACGTATTGAAATAAAATTGTGTAAAGAAGAATCTAATTCGTTATTTGTTATATTTAAAATACTTTTCTTTTTTCCTTTTTTTGGGGGAGGGGTAAATGAAGTGTCGTAATAAAGTTGTGATGTTAAGTATAGTGTTAGATTTTCAATAAAAAAATTTATTTGTTTATCTATGTTATATTTTCTACCTTTCTTTTATTTAGTGGTGAAATTAAAATTTTTGAACCGAATTTCATTGCATAATATTACAAAATGAGTACGTATCCTATTCAAAAAAGGAAATTACAACAACTTTGAACATAATAAAAAGTGTTGATTAAAATTAATCAAATCACATAATAATCTATCAAAAGGCGGTGAGAATTATTTATAATAATTTAAATCAATTATTAATTAATTGTATTATAATTTATCACAACTTGTGAGTATTAGTATTATTTAGATTTATTTATAATAATTAAAACATTATAATATCAATATCTAATAATATTTAATAACCTTTCATAGTGGGTGAATGCTATTTATGATCACAATTTCAAACTATTTTAAGATCAATAATAATGTTTTGCTAATTAATTGCTTTATAATTATAACAGTATGTGAGAATTATTTCAATTATTTATGATATTAAGATCATAATTTCCAAACTATTTAATATTTAATAATATTCACATTTAAATAATAGAGATTAGAAGATATAATAAAATGATTGAGTGAATAAATATCCTATGCAAATTCCAGAAATTCTAATGATTAAGTTTTCTTTATTTATTATTTGCTTTTTAAACACATCAGAAAATTTACGTGAGTAAATTTACGTAATATTAACATATGTATAGGTCTCATAACATTATGAAGATTTACGTCTAAAGCTCCTCATAGGCCGAGCTATACGTGTTGCCCAAATCCCAAATCATTTGGGATTTGGGACGCCAAAATTCCAAATTACTAGTATTTGGGATTTG